ATCGCGACCTAATTTTTGGACTGCACCGCCTCTTGTTACTATTGCGTGAATTTTTTTGACGAAACAAACAAACGACAGTCCGAAATAAACGACACACCATTCAAGTTATATTTGTTCTACCTGCATTTCCCATTATTATTGTGTTACATGTCATAAAGGGATAGAAAATCGAAAGTACTAACTTTAGGACTAATTATTATGTATTATGTTTTGTATTATGAATATTATGTTTTATTTTATTACTGTATATTATATATTATTTCTTCACTTGCTCCATTGTTAATGAAACTTTTTTTACCTATTAAATAACTTTATACCTTATGCAGAAATTATAACTATATTGTTTTAAAGAAAAATCCCTTTTCTTCCCAAATACACTATCCACGCGCAATGTGCACAATTTCGGCGGGTGGTTCCGTTCAGGAGGGGCGCTACGGCGGACTGAACCGCCGTAGCAAAAGGGTTAAAATTCCTCGCAGAAATCACCCTATCGCACAGAAACGAGTATCAACGTCCCAAGAGCTCGTGAAAAATTAATTTAAAAATCGTCAGTGACGAACACTGACTCACCTGGTAACTTTCCTACGTAGAATTGTGTGCTCTTGGAGTCGGAAGTAGCATCAGGTCGCGGGAAACGCCGTCGAACCGGACGTTAAGTAGAAGCGACGAGGAGCAAAGGACAAAAAGAAAATTTCGTATGAAAAGCCCGGTCTGTCCAGCGAGGCAAGGTGCAGCGCGGTGGTGCAGTATAATGCAACGGCAAAATGGAAATGTAGCGGGCAGCATCGAAGCGAAAACGAGCGAATGTAAACAGGAGGAGGCAGGCGTGTGTGGTGGCTGGGCCATCGAGGCTTCCGCTTGTTTAGCTCTGTTTGTTTTGGCTGCGCCGCGCGAGAGACGAGCTTGCCTCGCTTTAACTCTCTCTTTCTCTTTCCCCCATTACGATCGGCCGAGTGTTATATTACTGTTTAAACGGCTTTTTCCGTTTCGCTCTTTTTCCTCGGCTTCGTTTTTATCCGGGCGACCGACGTCAGCCGGTTTTACGATGCCGTGCCGCGCCGCGTCGCGGTGGACAAAGATCGGCCGCGTGAGAAATTAACCTGCGCGCATGCGAGCACGCGAAAAAAAGGAACGTGTCGATGGCCAAAGAAACAAAGCGGACCCGAGTCGATACGAGTAGATACGATTACCAAGTCGAGCAGATTGCACGGAAGTATTATGTTTACCGTGTAAACCGGCAAAAAAGCTGCGCGCTGCGCCGTCATTCATTGTAAAATGCTCGCCGCGATTCTAATCCGTCGTGCGAATGCAACTGTCGGATATTGTGCGGTCGCGTGACGGGAAGATTTCACCTCCCCCCCCCCCCCTGTTAAGGTAGGGAACGTTATCCAGAGGGATCGACGAATCGATCCCACCCTAAATGACGCTGCGACAACGGACGCGGTCACTAAACGTCGGACCCATAAATGGCTACGCCCTAATAAGAAAAATGCCTCTAATTGCGGAGGGTGTATCTCTCTGCTAAGTATCTTTATTGTTATTGACCGTACAAGAATTGATGGGGAAGCTAGGAGAGGAAAGAGTGCGATCGGCTTGACGGATCTGTCGCCAAGGTCGCCTCAAGGTTAACGAACTCTCAATTGCAGAGCAACTGGTCCCGTTGCGAGATAGTGTCATCTGGCGGAATAGATGTAATTAATATTGGGATACGTCTTAATGGGCGTCAGTTCGAAATTGTATTAGCTAGTTGTTACGTTGATTGTCTGCAAATTGTATCGGTAATCGAGTAACCACGGGCTGTGTAAGAACGAGTTAGGTTTCTAGGTTCTGAGCAGGTTAAATTATGTTATTAATTTTTTCTTAATGTCGACTGTAAAGCTATTCTTCTGTTGTCTATGCTTAATCGATAAAGAAAGTACAAGCTAAATAAATGTTCTCTTTTCCTTATAGATAATTATAAATGACAAAGAAGTTCTAATTACTGTACCTGTACGATAGATCAAAAGACAAGAAGTCAAATAGACTTTTTACAATACATCTGTGTTGTTTTTAATAATGTTGAAAGATTGTGGTAGAACAAACTTTTTTGAGGTTATAACATCTTCGAAATTTTAATAATTCAATAAACTTTTATGGGAAAAAAATTTACTCAATAATTTTCGATGCTAGCAACAGTGTAATTTAAATAATCATCGAATAAAAAAAATGTAACCGTTAAAGGGGGTTAAATTTTGTCGTGACCTTTGCCGTTTTAAAAAAATTATTTTCTGTCGGAAACGTTCTCTAACGAATTCAGGAACACCGATGGAATTTAGTCGTTCTGTTTTATAAGTACTTCATCTTGTAATAAATTGAATCGAACAATAAACCTATATTACTTTCAATTATATCTCTCTATTATAAAAAGCTATGCCTAAATAATCATCATTTAATAACAGTGACTAACGTGTATCGTTTAATAACGATAACAAGTTTGTATTTATTTATATCATCTGCTATTTTTCTTATAATATATGCTCCGATTAAGAAATATATATATATTATACAAATTATTTATTTCTTTATATTTTTATTTATTTATTATATATATAATAATATAATATATATAATATATAATAATATATATAATTATATAATAATATATTATATATATAAGTTTGTATAATTCCAGAAACGCGTTAAAACAAAAATTGTGAAACCGGTCATTTCGAAAAAACATCTTCTCACGATTAAAGACCGCGGCGTACTATTTTTAAATGAAACATTGAAGTTACCGAAGCGAGGCTTGCATCACTTACCCTTGAAGCGGACGCAAAGTATCCCCTCCAGATTATTAATTATCAGCGACGTCGATTGATCCGAACGGAGAGAGAAAAAAAAAAGGATCGTCGAAGAAGTGAAAGTTCGGTGAACCGAGGTTTCGAGGGACGTAGACCTGGGTGCGCACCCTTTAATCCCATTTAACGCGTCGGGTGGCTCGGGCGCGCCTAAAGTCGCGCTGAAACGCGATCCAGGTATATATCGTTCCGCGGTTCCGGCGTTCCGGACGTCCCGTTCCGTCGTTCCACGGTTCGAGCGCGAGAGTAGGCAGTTGCGTGTGTCGTGTCAGTTATATCTCGGCAGCGAGTGCCGTCAGGCGCACGGGTGTTACGACGCGCGCCGTTCCTTCGAAATCCTCGTGTATCTCCAACTTATCGCATCCCTTCTTACCACCATTGTGACAGTTTTTCACGGGCCAACGTCGGTGTCCTCGTCGGGACAACACAGTGTGCATATTTCGTGCGGTTACAAAAGTGTCGTTCCGCAATCATAATTCTTCGTTCGATCGAATCATGACAGTCCGCAACGATTCGCACGGTCCGACTTCGAGAGCGTCCGCACTTCGATCGCCGCCAGCGAGGGAAACGTTTGTGCTTTCTGCGGGAATCGTTTCGATTTTCGATCCGAGTTCTGCCACGTGATACGTGCTCTCGCTTCTTCGCGACATCTTTTGATTTCGATCGATCGAAACAGATGCTGGTCGGCGATACCGTGCCTCGTCGATGGTGGCATGCATGGCGGGACACAATCACCGGCAGGACATTGTAATGAATTATGCAGCAGATCAAATCACGCCTATACGAGAATCATCGACTTTGCACGCTCGATCCTCCCGTATTAATGCGCCGATGTCGCTCGTTGGCTGCTGTCGTTACCCGTGAATATTACCAGTGGCCTCGAGCGTCCGAAGTGTTGCTACTATTTCCCTAGAAGTTTCTGACAAAGGACCGATTATTTACTCTGGTGTTTGTTCGCGCAGTGACAGTGTACGCTCGCAGAATCTCGATCGACGTAAACAGCGATCCCAACGAACGATTACCGGGCTGAAGTTCGTCACTTCGATTTTCGCGTGCGAGTTGAGCTGCCGTTTCTTGTGACTCACGTCGCACACGTGTTCCACTAGGTAACAATCGCTTTCGTAATATTGGCAACTTGTTGGCAGCGCAGTTCAATTCCCGCGAGACGTTTCATTCCGCGTAACCCGCCGTGCTGTTTTAACACCGTGACGCTGCATCGGATCGAGATGTGTCGTTATTTCGATAATCAAACGATCGCGATAGTAGGGGGAGTGTCCTTAGGGTTGCCAGATGTGCTCCGTGCAGAGTACATTTCTTTTTAAGGTATGTCAGCGCTATTCTCTTTAGTATTGTATTCTCTTTTGTTCCTTTTTAGATCGTAGTGTAATTTAGTTCGAATAAAGTTGATCGCGAATCATTCTTATATAGGTTAGGACCTTATAACCTCGTCGGTGACTCCGATCGTTTTATTAATTAGTACGTTGAAAAGAGCATTCGAAAACAACGCTAACTTTATTGATATCAAATATTAAATCGTTTTAGAATTAATGTATAATATTATATGTAATATTGAATATTATTAATATTAAATAATAATAAATAATAATATTATTGTAATTATAACATAATAATAATAATTAAATAATAATTATAATATAACAATAAAATAATAATATATATAATATAATATAATAATAATATTATTATATTAAATAAATAATTCATAATATATATATTAAATGAATATCAAATCGATGGCACTGACAGAATTGTAGAACTAATCGTTCAGGTTATATTTTCTGTATCATTTGGCAACCCTGAGTGTACAGTGGGTTTGAACGTTGACAGTGAGGATACAGTGGAATTGTGAGTAACGTGATTTCCCGGAGAATCGTTGGAAGTGGGAAACTCGGATAATCGTCATGGCTTACGTGCTCTGGCGAGTCTTTATGAAGAGGTACTCGAAGGTGCGGCTGGGCCTCAGGAATTTACCCGTAAGTGTGCACAAACTTCGTAATTTGAAACACCGCTGCTTCGAACGCGTGCAATTTTATGTTGGAATTTTACTGGTATACTGTTTCGCACACGTCGAACGACCGTTGTAATTACGCCGACCATCGAATACATTATGCAACGCGTTGACCGGAAAACTGCGCGAACGCGAATCGCGCGAATTACCGGTTTCGATTCTTCCCGCCATTTCTGTTCCCCGCGCGATTCAAAATCGCCCGGAGATTGGTCCATCGTTTAAATAAACAAAAGGCGCAACTGACAATGGCTAGGCAGGCGTGTCGCCGTCAATTTTATTACAAAAGAGACGTCCATTATTGCCGGATATTTCGGAATATTTTTATAGCGGGTCTTTGTGGAAAATAAAAAATAGAAATTTCTTCTTCTATTTATTTTTCGATGATTTTAAGCAACTTTACTTCTATTTAGAATTGTATATCGGTAATACTTAAATCCTTCGTATCTTTCTACTGCTTTAAATTTCGTCTCCACATTTTTATTACGCTGTATAAAATATGCAGTCTAATGGCTTCGCTGATTTAGAGTGCAATTAAAGTGAACAGTTTTCAAGATTCCCTCGTAATACCAATGAAAGCACGTGGCTTTTATGAGCATTTCTAAAACCAATTAACTGGAATGTTTATTGTCTAAGAGGAAAAACAATCAAATGTTCTCAGAACCGGCTCTCAGATATAGATAGGAAAAGTATCAGATGTGCCGATACTTGATCTCAAGTTTCTGGGTTGAAGGTGAGCCTTTGTTTACCTACCAGAGGCCCTACTACTACTATTACTACTATTACTATTACTACTACCACTACTATTATTACTACTATTACTATTACTACTACTACTATTATTATTACTACTACTACTATTACTACTATTACTATTACTACTACATCTATTATTACTACTACTACTATTACTACTATTACTATTACTACTACTATTATTACTACTACTATTATTACTACTACTACTATTACTACTATTACTATTACTACTACTACTATTACTACTACCACTATTATTATTACTACTATTACTATTACTACTATTACTATTACTACTACATCTATTATTACTACTACTACTATTACTACTATTACTATTACTACTACTATTATTACTACTACTATTATTACTACTACTACTATTACTACTATTATTATTACTACTACTACTATTATTACTACTACTACTACTATTACTACTATTACTATTACTACTACTACTACTATTACTACTACTACTATTATTACTACTACTACTACTATTACTACTACAACAACTACTACTACTATTACTACTACTACTACTACTACTACTACTATTAATACTACTATTACTATTACTACTATTACTATTACTATGCACACATAGAACGGACACATATACCTATGCGTAAGGCGGTCACTGCCTCAATTTCACTGATTGTAAATCATCCTCACGTACCATGAAATATCGATACTTTAATATTACTAAAGTACAATTTCTTCTATTTCTTGCAACGCATATCCAATACCAATACCAGTACCATACTAGACCTTTCGTAACGTCTCGAAATTCATTTTACTTCGATCTTTCTTGTCATCGTTTTTATGATCCCGGTGGCAATTTCTCGTGACAACTTTAAATGATTTATGCTTGGAATATAAATATATGAAACCGTGAATTGCGACCGGCTGAACGGCCATCGCAGAAAGTGCAGCGTATCCGTTCCAACTACGGTGCAATTATTAGACTGCAACCGAGGCTAATGCGAGCACGGTAATTGGATAATTGCCGTTCAGCCTGCGTACCAGTTTTTTTTATTATTTTTGTATGGTTCTGCGGTAGACATCGCATTGGCATCGATTCGTATCGATTCATCATGATCGATCGGATGCGTGTACGGTTCATTGAATTTTCCTCGCGCGGGATTCTTTCTTGAAATCGTTTCATCGTCGGTACATGACGATAGACGGCACGCAATTATCGCTAGAGAAGCGTTCCTTGTTTTGCCACTGCCCTGGCATCGTTATTAACACGTTGACTGTCGATCGAAGTTACACTTCTTCGTTTCCCGTTCACGCTCCGACGAGGCTATAGCACGTTTCTCTCTCTCTCTCTCTCTCTCTCTCTCGCTCTCTCTTCGACTTAGATGGTGTATTTGATCAGCCCGGCCAATTTTCTGTCCTGTAATTTTCTCGACATTAATCTGTCGAGATCACACTTTCATATATGTCACTTCGTTTTGGTTAAATAATCGTCGTGTTATCAATGTAAAGCTTTTCGCCGGTATATAATTTAGCGAACAAATAAAAACGAAGTCGATAAATTGGCTAGTGCATATGCATTTTGAAAGAAATCTCTAATGATGAAATTAAGTTTTCTTCTGTTGCTATATGAGCTTCTGTATATAGTGGAGAGTATAAAGTATGATATTTATATACTTCCTAAGCGTTCTCAACAGATTATGCACGTTCATGCATTTATTATATAATCTTCTACACTGCATAGTAAGAATTATAAATAGAACCGTTTACCATTTCCATGACACTTCGAATCAGACCACCGCATTTGCAAATTGTCCGACAACTCTACTGGTTCTATTATAATTTCTGTTTTTGATCACTTTCTGATACTGAGACTGATATGTGGTGAACATTTAACACTAACACTGTCAACATCTTGTCCTAAACGTCACCAATGTTTATTGTTTTATAACAGTGACAAGATTCGATTTATTTGAACTTCTCGCGACTTCTATTATAATATTTCAATATATTTTCTATTAATAACATTTTTATTAAGAACTCTGATAGAAAACATCAAAAACCAGTCATTTATTATCTTCTACCCTGGAATGAAATTCTATTTTTCTACTATCGATATTTTATGATTAGGACAAACACAATATAAAAATATATAAATATAAATTAATAAAATGTAAATTATTTTCTTCTTATACAGCAAAGAACTCTAACCACCGTAGTCGTAAAATAAATCATACAGCAAGTCATTAAGTGTCTAAATGGTGCATAAGATTTAGTATTCTCCGTTATGCAAAATAAAAATTCTCTATCACGATTGTAAAAACCAGAAATTTCCATGAAAATTGAATATTATGCTTAACATATTCGATAGATTGAAAATAACCTTCCAGCACTGTAAAATTTATTCGCTACTACGTAAAATCCGCAGCCTAGTACCCGCTTTGAGTCGAAACGTTTCGTACACGAGACAAAACTGCAAATTCTACGAGCATCGAACATTCGATTAAGAAATGTTCGATTGCACCAGAATTTTTTGCCGGTGCTAACTAGCAAGGTGGGTGGCGTTGGAGCGTTGGATCAGTCGTAGACTCGTATACTCGGCTCTCATTTGTCGATAGATCCTGTTATTAAATTTTCCCGGTGAACGGGTTGACTTGCCGGCGAACACGGCGCCGACAGGCCTCCGTGAGGCGTGTTTAATCAATCAAGGAAAAGAGGTTCCCCGATGACCGGTCTGTGTACCCAAAGGCACACCCTGCTAATAAATTTCGTACAGCAGACCGGAAGGGAAATATAACCGTAGGGGCAGGGTGCAATGCAATTTACGACGTGTCGGGTTGGATTACTTTGATCGGTGCGCCGGACGATCTATTCCGCGGTCGGACGAACCACTGTTTCATTCCGGGGTGATTAGGATACCTGTTAACCGACCGATCGATACGCTATTCGCTAACAGTTAACGCGTTTCCTCGATCCTGTCTTTTAATTCCCCGAACCGTTTTCTACGAGTTCGGTCGAAGCGTGTTTGGTCTTCAGGTTCTTGAACCTTGTTCTCAGATATTTTTATCTCTCTTCAACGCGCGTCGCACTGATCGAAGTTGAACCGTGAACTTCAAATACCGGTTGATAAATCATGTTTCGTGGTTCTTCTGTAATGCACGACGTAGCCGAAACGAGGCAATTCGAGCCGCTGGGAAAACAGTGAATCGTCGCACTCGGAATAATTGATAAAGCTATCGACGAGATTGTTCGCGCGCGGTTTCGCTCGTCTTTGTGTGAAATTCTTGGAACAGCCGCGGCGATTTGTCGGACCTTCCCCAGACCTCGTTTCTTAATCACTTTTGCCATGTAAATCGGTTCGAGTGAATAATGATCGCTCACCCATTGACGAGCTATCTTCCGTTGTCCTTGCGAAAGCAGTCTTTACACAACTGATCATTCTTCCTTCAATGCTGTCTTCGAATCGCCAATTGTTCATTATGAAACGCTTTAGGCTCCTCGGTTGATTGTTTTTTATGCAACGGTTTATGCTAGGGAGCGAATCCTGTGGGATGTTATGGGCTATTCAATCCTCCGAGGCTTCGACGAAAGTAAATAACAACGATTAGGAGGAATTGTTTCTGTGAGAATCATAATCGCTTGGTCCGTGTTGTAAGGGATCATTCCACTTTGGACAGTCTTCTTCGTGACCCGTGAAAGCGGATCATTCCATTTTGTAGTCAGACAAGATCTTTGTAAATGCCAATCTTCTATAATAATTTTAGAGAATGACGATATAATCTCTGTTGAAACTTTTACGACCTCGTTGCTTTCATGCGATACATTTTCCATTCGTTTCATTATTTCATATTACATTAACGTCTCTCTAATTGACGTTCAGATTGACCATAAAAATGGACAATTTGGGAAGAGGAGGATTATTCGAGCCTTGCGGTTTATTGTTATAGTTATAAATTGTCCACAATTATAAAAACGAGCCGCAAGCCTCGAATAATCGTATCTCCTCTTCCCAAATTGTCCATTTTAGTGGACAATCTGAACGTCAGTAAGGGAGACATTATTATATACCGTTTGATCTATTAGATTTATGCTAGTTCTACATTATTTCTATGTGTACAATAATTTTATAATTCTATACAGTAATTCTGTATCATATTCTCTACGGTCTCAGATCACATCAGAATTTAACCGTGTATTCTACATTTGATTCGACAAATTGTAGAC